GCAAACTGAGGGCTTCGGGTTGGGTTGGGGTGGTTTGGTGGGTGGTGATACAAGGTGGCCGCAGAAGCGAAGTCCCATCTGAAGCCAAATCGCGTGCGAGTCCCGATATATAAAAAACATCAGAAACAAAATGTACCGCTATGCCCCTCTGAAGATGGAAAGGGAAGGCAGCTCGGCTAGGAGGCGGACGGGAGACACGCACACACGTGCGCAGACCGTCGAGAAAGCCGAGAAGGGAATGAAGCAAGCAAATGACTTGTGTGCCTCACTCCCTTCGCAAAGCAGAGCATCGAACGAGACTTGGGTAGTGCCTGAAAGGGGTGGGCGCCAGGGACTCAACGCTGGACGTCGGCATGGCTAATTAGCATCGCTGCTCGCCTTGCTGAGACGCCCCCGCCTAAGAGGCTCGAAAGGGGCATTCCGCACCGCACAGGAGCAATGAGCAATGAGCAATGCGAGGGGAGTTCCAAAGGAATTACTCTGCTCACGCCGAAGCAAGCCTAGAACTCTGCGCGACCCGTCTTATAAAGAGCAAGTTAACCGTGGAATAAAGGGGACACCCCCTCTGGCAGAACCAAAACAACTCCTGACGACGGCGAACCCCAACACGCCGCGCAGACGTTTGCAGGGAACCGTCTAGGGGACGCACCGCAGAGGAGGAGAAAGAGGAATAAGTAACACCTGGCGGACAGGCCCATCTACCTCAGAGGCCGAAGGGAAATGGCGAACAACGGCTCTTTAGTATTTGAACCTCATCTCTCACACAGTTGGGACACCACTGCAACACAACAGTCGTTACATAGTATCGCTAATGTGGGTCTCTCCGCGCTCAAGCATGTACCGTATGAGGTCGATTGACGGGCGCAGTCGGTAATTCCCCATATTCCAAGCACGTTGCTATCATTGTTGGTTGGACCACTCCGCCTCACCTTCGCTTTCACATCCCCCACCTTTACCCATGCGCGGAGCCGCACAAAACAACTCTGATCCGCGCACGCTCCCTCACACTCAGGCTTACCCAGACTCAGAGTCACTCGTGCCCTGGGTGCCACACACACACACACGCACACTCAGGCTCAGACTCACGCAGGATCCGCTCACTCATGCTCAGACCCACGTGCATCCCAAATGCGCAAAGTCAGATTCACTCAAATTCCCACTCGCTCACACCCAGGCTCATACTCAGGCTTACCCACACTCAGACGCACTCATATCTATATTCGGACTCACCCATAACCAGAATACCCTACACTTGGGCTTCCCAGGGGAAAAACGACCCTGGGTGGCGTGTCACATCATTTTTTGATCTGCGAGGCGAGAGCGAATCTCTTCCGCTAAAAGCTAGGCGGGCTACGCACAGCTTTACTTAGGGAGACAGGGCACAAGAAGGCGGGGCCTCAGGCGGCCAGAGCGGGCGGGGCCCGGGGAGCAGGCGGCGCCGAGATGGATGTGCAGGAAGAGGTACGCCATGGACAGGGGCCGAGGGCGAAGACCCGGAAGGCGAAGGAAATGGTGTTGCCGTCAACGCGGGTGGCGTGTCACATCAGAGCCCCAAGATCACCCCCGTGTAAAAATCACACGGCACCTGGGCCTCCCACGGCGGAGGCCGACAAGGGGGCGTGACCACTGGCCCCTGCGCGCCGAGACTGCGGGGACTTGACAGCTCGAACTGCCCTGTGTTACCAGCCTCGAACTTACCCCTGTCCCTAAGATTGACACGCCAAAAGGCGATGACAATCCTAGGGATAGGCCGTCCAAAAAAGAAGGGAGTCCCTAAGATTGGCATCGTGAGGAGGAGATGCCCAGCATAGGGATGGGGATATGCTCCCGGCCGGTAGCTTTGGGCGGGGCAGACGTGTCTCTTCTCAGAGCCTCGAGATCACCGACAAGAAGCAGGCATTGTGCTTCGACCTCCCCGGAGGGAGCCGACCAGGGCCTGTGGACGCGCCCGTTCGTGCCCAGACTGTGGGGACCTCGCGGATCGAATTGCCGCTCTGGCGGGGCAAGCGCATGCAGCTATGGCGACGAGATCTATACATATCCACTGCTCCTGGCCAAGCCCATCCTGGGTCCAGGAGCGGTGTATATGTCCCCCTGGCTAGGCCACGAGGGCGTATGCACCGCTCCCGGGCCCAGGATGGGCCTGGCCAGGAGCAGTGGATATATATATATATATATATATATATATATATATAAAAATCTATAGATCTCGTAGCCCTAGCAGCTCCAGAGCCCCAGGATCACCGCCGCGGTGCAGCAAGCATCCGTACTTGGGCCTCCCAGAGTGGAGCCCGGCCAGGGGTGTACCACGTGCCCGCTCGCGCCCAGATTCAGGTCGGGCGCGTCGCCCCACAGGCGGATCTTGGACGAAACACAATGAAGAGGCCCACAAACACACAAATAAATACGCACAAATAAAACGATTCCCCATATTTTCCCTTATTTTCTGAGTTTCTGTCTTCCCCACCACTTCCCATATTTTCCCATATTTTCCTGGGGGTCGACGATTAATTGTGTCTGTGTGTTTCTTCCCCTCCTGAAACAAGAAAGAATCAAGACATGCTCCCAAAATGCCCAAAAGTATTCCAAAAATCATCCCCAGGCTATTTTTGGACTATTTGTTAAAATTCCTCTTGTAGAGGGACAGGCTCGACTCAAGCCCAGATTTGGGGGGAGGCTCTCAAATCGAATGGCCTATTTGCCGGGGGGAGACGCCTGTCTCTGTGCAGAGCCCCAAGATCACCCGGGTATAGCAGGCATGGCAGCTGAGCCTCCCAAGGGGGGAGCCGACCAGTGGTGTCTCACGAGCCCTCTCGCGCCCAGATTGTGAAGGCCTCTCAATTAGAATCACAGATTTGGCGAGGTACACAGGTCTCTTTTTCAAATCTCCAAGACCATCGCGATGCACCAAGCATTGGGCCTGTCATCCTGGGAGCTGGCCAGGGGTGCTTCATGCACACGTTCGCGCCCAAAGTGTGGGGATCTCCTAGGAGCTCAATCGCAAGATCCCCTCACGGGTGTCTGGACTTCCTCATACCCCGATCCGATCACATCCGAAGCAACACATACCCAGAGTTATCCCGCCGTATGTATTGAGGATCACTCGCACCCAGACCCATTAATATTCAGGCGCCCATGCGCAAACTCACTCATACCCAGTCGCTCGTGAACAGACTCGCTCCTATTCAGACTCACGTGCACTCGATAACTCAGAATACAACCCGCTAGAGGTAGGATGCTCATCGATTACTAGAACCATACATAACATACACCGCGCGGAGTTATATCTGAAAAATATGGGGGAACGCTTCACATCGAACACTTTGTTGTCCACGGGGCTGGCTGCCGAGCGGTTGACTGACTGTCTGATGACTGACTGCTGACCGACTGAGTCACCAAGGCTGCTCGGTGTCAAGTCTATCTGCGGTGCTTGGCAACTTCTACTGAGGGTTGGAGGGTGAAAGGTGTTCCAATTGCAGCTGTATCAATGGCAGTGGGATCCGGCAACTGTGCCAGAGTGTGCAAGAATATGTATTCGGCAATTTCTGCCCAGGGGGGGAGATTCCGCGGATGTTTCTCATCAGCGGCTGGGGGATATTGCAACATCACCTGCGTAAGTTAGCACACTCGGTTGCCAAATTCAACACGGGAAGTGACATGACTTCAGTGGCAACTTCAACCGTGGAGGGATCTGGCAGTCTGGACCAGTGGGGATGATAAAGAGGCCACGTCTAACCGAATGGTGATCTATGTCGGCTGCGATTCGATCAGTCCTGGATCAGTGGAAAGAACACATTCAGTTACGCGGAGGATGATTGTGTTGCATGATTGGCCGAGAGCGAAAACAATTCGATCCATGGCGGGGGGATTTGGCAACTTGGCCGGGGGAGACGTTGGATTGAGACGAAACCATATCACGGTGGCAAGACTACCCCTTGGTGTGGGATGTTGCATTGCTGGCGATCCTGGTCGTGGGGTGAGCATGCAAAGTTTAGCGAGGAACTCTGGTCAGCAATCGTAGCCGACCAGTGAAGCTAGAACGTTGTATTACGTTGCATCCCCTGATGGCAAGTAATCCACGAGTGGGGAAGATACTTGAACGGCAGTTTGGCCAGAGGAGTGCAGAGATTCCAGCGACAATGTGGTTGGTCCTGCGAGCAAGGCACGGCGGTTCAGTCAGGGGGGGCTTGTGGTTGGCAGCTTTAGGCGAGGGGTGAAGACAACTCGATTGCACAATTACCCGACGAAGGGGGCCTGGCAACGTTCGCCAGGGTGCCGGGGATGCTTGGCCGGCACCTGCAACAGGGGGCAAGCGATATTCCTGGCCATCGCTCGGACGTCCATTCCCTGTGCTATTTTCGGTTTCGTGCGTGGTTTTTCGCAGGATGATCCAGGATGCTCCTCAATGATCCCCGCCGAGGACAAGCGCACACGTCCGAGCGATACCAAGATTCCAGTAGCAGTTTGGGCCGTTGGTGGGAGACAGGACGTGCCGCTGCGCCTGCTGGAGATCGTGCTCGCGCCAAAACGTTCGGGCTTTGGTTGGGGGCCAAGCGGCCAGCTGTCCGGGGATAACAATCTCCCGGGGGGGGGGGCGGGGCACTTCCTGGGATCACATCGGGTGCCAATGGCCTGCGTGTGCGTCGCACCCGTTTGGCATCGACTCGGGTCCTACAGGCGTCCCCTGGGACTCCAGGAAGTTCAGGAGTCCTGGGTGCGTCCTGGACGGAGGCATAGGGGATGGTTCATGGCGCCGTCAGTTGCCTATTTTCAAAGCCCTCGAGGCCGTCTAGGGGCCGTCTCAATGCCATGGGCCCCCGGGGTCCCTGTCGTGTACGAGATGACTCGGGCCGAGCGAGAGCCGTGTGAAATACCACGCGCCGTCGCTCTTTCTTTTCCGATGGCGTTGCTCCACGGCCTAAGTGACGACCAAGTTGATGGAAGCTCAGGGCCACGGACACGTCACCAGGGATGGCTACCACGCCACACGGCGGCTGCACTCAGAAGTAGTCCGTCCCGAAAACTTCCTTGTCGAACGCGCGCTTCTTGGCGTTCCTGCTCCTGACGACGGGATCCTCGGCCCCGGGGACCAGCACCGGACGGTCCAGGCGCTCCGCATACGGCGGCTCGAGCACCGCACGCTGCGACGGCGTCAGTCCTTCGAGCATCTCCTTCGGCCACTGCGGGGAGTAGGTCCGCCCGTAGCAGGACGTGGCCGGGGCGAAGCGGTAGAGGGCCACGCGGCGCTCGTGCTCTGCCCTCCACGGCTGCGCGCCGTGCACGGTGGCCTCGGAGAAGAAGACGACGTCCCCTGGGCGCGTGACAGGCTGATAGAGGTGCTCCTGGAAGTCGTCCCCGTTCATGAAGGCTTCTGGCACGCCGAAGTTCATCTTGTGCGAGCCTCGCACGACGATGAAGCCGCCGTCTCCCGCGGCGTGTGGCGACAGCTGCACGGACATCGCCAACAGCGAGTTGAAGAACTGCCCACCCACACAGCGGTACTGCAGCGTGGGGTTGAACCTGCCCGCTGACGTCACCGGGCCGCCGTGCAGCTTGAACCCCTCGCTGCCCTTGCTCTGCAGGATGACCATCGGCAGGTGGTCCATCCGGTACCCCTCGCCGCAGAGCTCGTTCAGGTACGGCACCAGGCGGGGGTGGGCCAGCCAGGAGCGGAAGGGGTCGCTGTGGGGCGGCGGCCAGCCCAGCATGCCTCTGGCCATCGCTCGGACGTCCATTTCCTGTGTTTTTGTCGGTTTCGTGCGTGGCTTTTTCGCGAAATGATCAAGGATGCTCCTCGATGGTCCTCGCCGGAAGAAAAATGCACACGTCCGAGCCATGCCAAGGCCTCCGAGGTCGCGCCGCCCGCTCTCGCCGTCCCCGGCCAGCGCGGAGCCCGCGCGGGCGTTGCGCAGCTCTGGGTCGCGCCTCTCCCGGATGTCCGCCGCGTGGGCGTCGATGGCCGCGTTCGCCGCGGCCACCTCTCGAGGAGACGCAGTGCAGTACAGACGCGGCCGCCAGGAACCCTCGCAGGAAGTTGCCAGCCTCGAACGTATTCCTATCCCTAAGATCGACACGCCGACAGGCGATGACAATCTTAGGGATTCGCCCTCAAAAAATAAGGGAATGCCTAATATCGGCATCGTGATGAGGAGATGCCCAGCATACAGGGATATGTTCCAGGCTGGTAAGGAAGCCCAGCTCTGAAGACCCGCGCGAGGGGTGCGACTGGGGGGAGGCCCAGGGCACCCTGAATGCAGCAGCTTCTTCAACGGCCGCGGGAAGTCAGCGCGCAGCGCGAGGAGCGAGGAAACCCAGGGTACCCTGATGAAAAGCGCATGGTTTCTTGATCCGCGCCCCTACTGCACTCGGGTTCGGGGGACTCGGGTTGGCCTGACGGGGCCATCATGCAAATGACGAGGCCCAGTCTGAAATTTGACGCCAACTCCCGCTGCAAACATCCCACGAAAACAGGACCGCCAAAATCCAGGGCGCGCTCGTCAAAAGGCGTTGGCAAACCCGAGTTCTGGCGTACTCGAGTCTTACGTGTCCCCGAACCTCTTCTGGTGACAGCACGCCCCGCACCACCAGGAAGCCGTTGAGATCGAAGAAGAACTTCTCCGAAGCAGTCATGCCAGCGCCGCCATTTACTGGGGGAGCACGAATGATGCCGGCACTGCTACTCCGCGACCTCTCCATGGGTGCGTTCGGACCAGGACTCTAGAGCGATTCCGGTCGTCGCGATGCGAGGCACCCCCCAAGAGAGATATCGTGATCGGTACGTTTTGCTCCTCAGCATCTCTTCGAGGAAGAAGGGGCCCTCGAAAAACACGGATTCGGGTCCCTTCGTGGATTTACTGACCCGGGTCAACCCAAATCAGAGTCAGCCAGGCTTTGCAGGATCCTGCTAGATCCTTCAGGATCCTGCACGCAAGCCCGCACCCCCAGCTCTGCAGGATCGTGCAGAATCCGGCGCTCTGGCCGACCCCCGCTTGCATGGACCCCCGTCTCGAGGCTCCCGAACCCCAGGGCGTTGACTGGGACCGGCTCTGCGTCCTGAGTCGCCTCTCGGCGGCCAGGGGGCCCGGAGAGGGGGCCCCGGGAGGCCGAAAACGGGGAGAAACCTCGGGACACCCCTCCCGCAGGACACCCCTGGGCCCGAGGACATCTCTTGGCTTGAGTGAGCTTCGGAGCAGGACTCCTGCTCCGAAGCTCCCTGCTGCAGGAGCAGGAGCGCAGGGTCCTGCGCCTCGTCGCCGGGTCTGGGCTCCTGCAAGCAGGAGCCCAGACCCGGCGACGAGGAGCCACTCCCAGAGGCCCACAGAGAAGCAGCACGCGGCTGCGTTACCTCGACCGATGCCCCCACCCCCCCCCCCGGGAGCGCGAGGCGGGACACCCGGGGATGCGGCCGCGCCACGCGGTCGTCAGTCGTCGCAGACGCGAGGCGGGACGCCCAGGGAGCACCAGGAGCCCCCCGGGGGCCTGGCGGCCGCGGTGCGCAGGGCGTGCGAGGGCGGGTCGGGGGCTCCTTCCGGAGCATCTTCGTAATTAGGGTGGAGGGCTCCGGGTGAAATCCATATGGGATTCTGCACCTCGGCAATCAATCCGTCTTGTGATTCGCCTTTTGAAGGTTCAAGCCTCGAGGACCCATCGAAACGGCATTTCAGACTTCGCCACTTGCCCTCCACCCAGAGAACATGCTCGGTCCTTTCTCCAGATCGAACGATCGAACAACGCCAACCTTTCGGATGGGGAGCGAAAGAACGACCTCAAGACCGCGGTGGGCCCAGGAGGCGGCAGGGCTGTTTGTTTGGCAGCTTCAAAACACTATATGATTACACCACGGAAGCGATGAGGATATGTGAGTCGATGCCTACACTATGCAAAAAACGGCCCCCTGAAACAGGAGGGAAAACTCCGGGATTGGAAGTGGAACCGGACAAAAACAGACGGCGACGGAACCCAGAAAAACGGCGCCGGAACCGGCAGAGCAGACACGACGAGCGAAAGCGGTGAAACCAAAAACGGCCCCGTCGCTTGAGGACCCCTCCTCTCCGTGGCGGCTCGCTCCTTCGGGGGCGCGCAAGCATGGATCGGGGGAGGCGCCCTCCCCAAAGTGCGGCCGATGCCGCCTCGCTCGGCGGCGGGCGAATCCGCGATCCCCCGTGGCAGCGGGGCCCGCGTCGCTCATCCACGCCCCCTCGAGCCATGCTTGCGACCGCCCGAGAGCTGCAAGCCCCTTCTCTCTCTTGAGCAGGGACCGACCGTCCCGGCACTCCTATAGTCCTACCACGAAATGCTCTTAGAACCCAGGAGTGTTCTAAGGACAAAAACAAGGTTCTTAGAACATCAACCCGATGCGTTAAAGCAAGACAGACTCCGCCAGACATGTTCTAAGAACACTTCGCGGGAACCACAAGAGGTTCTTGGAACATTGCTTGGTGGGGCTATAGGCACGCCAGGACGCCTCGCCACTGCGGGCGGCTCGGTGAGGGGGCAGGTGAGGGTGAGGAGGAGGAGGAGGAGGAGGAGGAGGAGGAGGAGGAGAGGAGGAGGAGGGAGGGAGGGGAGGAGGAGGAGGAGAGGAGGAGGAGGGGCGCGGGAGGGAGGAGCTCGGGCCGCCGCCATCCCCCGGGCGGACGGCCGCCCCCCCCGTGCGGCCCCGGCAGCGCCCGGCGGCCGGCCGCCGCCGGCCGCCGCGGGGGGGCGCCTCGCCGCGGCGGGCCGCGGGCCGCCCGCGAGGGCGCGCCGGGGCGCGAGGAGCGCGGGCGCGGCGGCGGCCACCACCGCCAGCCGGGTGCCGCCAGGAGAGGCCCTGGCCCCAAAACGCCAGGAGGGCGCCCACCACACTTGATGCGGGATGACGATTGATAAAAGATGGGAGACAACGATTTAAACATAGTCTTCTGCTATTTCTGCACAGCTTTCTGACTGGAGGAGAGCGATGAACAAATTGTTTTCCCGCCCGCGGCCGGTTTTCTCTAATCGCCATCCCGGGCGCCGCCGCGTGAACACGACCCCCGGTCATTTATCAATCGTCATCCTCCATTACACTTGTAGGTGGAGAGCCCAGGGCTCGCTACAGGGATTGGATTCCTTCCCCGAACGACCCAAACTCCTCCCAAACCCGCCCGAAACCTCCGAAGAGCCTCTCGGAACCCTTCCGGGAGGGTTCTCGCAGGGTTTCGGTTGAGAGGGAACCAGTCCCTAGTGGGCCCTGGACTTTCGAACACTACAGCGCCGAGACAGGGCCACATGCGCATGGTCTGGCCCGCATCGGTGTATGCGTATAGCTGGAGCCCTCCGAACCCAGGCCCCTTCGCGTCGCGGCAAGAAAGATCACGGCGGCGGGTTTTGGCAACGGACGTTGGCCTCTGGGAGGGGCCCTTGCGGGGTCCTGGGGCGGGGGCTGTCAAGAGAGGACGGCTTAGGACGAGACAGCGGTCCAGTGGAAGGGGGGCCCACGTTGCGGAACAGCATCTGCGCTGGCTGTGACCCCAGCTTTCCCACGGACGCCCAGATGACCTGCAGGCCCCCCTCCCCCGTTGCCTGCGCGAAGGCCCACGGAGGGTCCAAACATAGCGCCGGCCGTTGGAGGCCTCCCAAGTGGGGTCCTTGCGAATGGAGTCGGTGGGTCGCACCACATCGCCGATGCATCGCCGATGCATCGGCGATGCGTCGGCGACGTCAGCGATGCGTCGCAACCGTCGGCGTGGAGAAAACCGGGCTCTACATCGAGCCGCATCCCCGATACATCGGCGATGCGGCGCGATCCACCGACCCATCTCGTTTTAGGTCGGCATGTCCTCCTACAGGCGGATTTGGGAGGAAGGAAAATTAAAAATAGTCAAACATGCAAACAATAGTCAAAAAGAGAAGAAACATCGTCTCCATACGATTGTTTGACTATTTTGGACTTTCCCCCCCTGTAGAGGGACACGCCCGACTTAAATCTAGTTCGACCCAATCTGGGAGGCCTGGACCAGCCCAGCTCCCAGCGCGTCGCGGAACAGAAAACACAGCGGCAAGTTGCTTCTCGGCCTTCAGCCCCAGGGGGGCCCTTGCCGAGCCGTGGGGCCGTTAAAGGACGGCTCGGAATCAAGAAGCGGTCCCGGGCAATGAGGTCGAGACCTCGCAGGGCCTGAGAGTGTGACCCCAGTTCTCCCAGGGACGCCCAGGTGACCTCCAAGCACCCCGCGCGAGGACCAAAGGAGGGTCCCCAAATAGCGCGGCGAAACAGCTCTGTCCCCACTTCGAAATACGACGCCCACATCCTCAGTGGCGCGCGCCTCACGGCAACTGCAGAGACATCGAGCACTGTGAAAGTATGAGCCTGCGGCGGGAAAGCATCCACGTAGACACCCGACATCAGACGAGGACGCGCTGTGAACGCCCAGCGGCCGAAACGGCAGTGCTCGTGACAACGCGGTCGGATCGGTCCCGAGCAATACGCACGGAGAGCCCAACAAGAGCGCGAACAAACCGGTGGCACCCTGGGCCAGGGCCACCTCTGCCGGCTTCCGGGCCAGGCAGGCCCCGGAGGCACTCCGCGAGGCTCGGCGCCGCGGGCGGAGCATACGCACCCACGCCAAAAAAGGAAAACTGCTGCGGACACGCATCGGGGCGTCTGCTGCTCAGAGCTTCGCGCGCGCGCGGCTGGACCCTGCCCGCGGAGCTGACGCACCGACATCGTCAAGATCGACGACAAGGAGCGGCAGGCCGTCGTTCGGCCGCATCGGGGGGAGGGGGAATCCGCCTCCACGAGACAGCCCAAATGTGGCCCCAAGAGTCGGCAATCCGTACTGATCCACTGAACTCCGCCACCAGGCCAACCCTCCCAGCACGTTGTCGAATGATGTGCTAATCGTGTGCTTCCTGGCTGTGAGGGCTCAACTCTGCAGGGGAGAGCCCTCATCGTACCCCATGCTCCCTTTGACCTCCCTACCGTCGTCCAGGGAGCCAGCACGAGAAAAGGGACAAACAGATTGCCCAAGATTCCGCCAAGACTGACCCAAGCAGCCCCCTATCAAGGCCCCAAGAGGCTTCCGTACAGCCCTCCCGGGCGCCACCGACGTGCCGACACGTGCATAAACCACCGTTCCCGTACTCCAGATTTCGAAATAAAGGGAGGGGAGTCTCCTTT